ATTGTACATTGAAATAATTTTATAATGACTAATGTGTAGATAATATTAGTGTCGTGCAGAAAACAAGTACTAAATTATGTAAAATATTCGACGCAGTATTTTAGTCTTCCGCCTTCCTTATTACACTATAGGTAAAAACCAAAATTGTAAATTATATTTTGTTAGTCACACAGACAAAGGCATTTAACACTTTTGCGTTTAATATAGTCAACAAGTTTCCATTTCTTCCTTAAATCTTTCTAATGCCTTACTATTTGTTTAAGTCATATTGAAGCCTTGGACCTATTGTATTTTGTGTGTAATAGCCAATAAGCGGATATTACACACCGAAAACTGATAATATGAGTAGGTAAATGATAAGTATTGTGAGTATAAAAGACAAAGGCTATAGGAAATCGATTAATTCAATCGAATGACGTTTTTCTTGAAAAAAAGAAACGCTAGCCTATATTTGAAAATATAGCAATAGTATCTATGTATGTCTTGTTGCATTGTTATTCTTTTTTTTTTCATGATATCATCACTATTCACGCTGTCACGTGCAAGTCGTTTGCGGGTATCATTTTTGTTCGCGGGTTCAATTACACATATAATAATATTTTATGGCATACCTGACCTTTGAGGTTGAATGTTAGCAAATAATAAATTAAAAGTCGCAAACCGCAAGTATCATTGCCACGTATTACACCGGCAGAGGTTAAGGACCTCAAAAATGACAACGACTTATCGTTTTATCTGTTTCGGCGGATTAAGCACTAGCCATTTGCAATTATTTACCATTAGGTTACTCATACAACGGTTGAGCCACCACCACCCCCTCTCAAAAAAAAAAAAAAACCGGCCATTTTTCAAGCTTAGAAAAGTAACAAAAGGTATCACAATCTGATAAATTTATACTGCAGATAAATATTTAAACATTTAATCTTGTTTTTGCAATTTTTTTTGTCGGTGAAAAATTGAACATTTTTAGCCCGACAGTGCAATCCAGACGGCTTCAGCGGTTAGGGTGTGAGACTAAAGCGTCATAGGTATAATATATTATAACAATAGTTTTGAACAAATCATAATATATTTTTTCACATTTGCGTTCGCTCGTATCATACTTAAGCACGTGCGCGGTTGCATCATAGACATTTCTTAAAGTTCTCGATCCACTGCTCACAGTGCAGTCTTTGACAAGCACACCTGTGCTGACCTGACGCTGTTTTATGAAATTATACAAGTGCCATAATTATTATTATTATTATTAGTACCTGCGATTATAATTAATACCCTCATTAATAATAATTGTCTTTGACGGAAACCGTTGCACGATGCCAGTTCGTATAATCGTTGAAAAACATAATTTTTTACACACAAACACATTCTGCTGATTATGTAACGATATAGCTAGTTAATTGTTAAGACATCAGGTTTGCATTATATGATCTTATGGGATGAGGTGGGGGATAAGGAATACGCAGACGTCTTTCTTTCTCTTTTGTTGTTTTATTAGACGTACATGTAAGTATTTGCATAAGTATGAGCAGTAAAATTTTTTGTGCAATAAATGCTTTTTATAAATGCTTATATTACCTATCAAGGTGTGTAAGAAAATGGCAAATAAAAACGGATAAAAATGGACGCGCGTGCACTCGGATCGTGGGGAATTTTATTTTTGATAAAAATTTGATCGCTGTTCAGACTCCCACACGATAAAACTACTATTAGTTCTCCATTGTAAAAAAACATCAGGATATGTTAACTCATACATATTCAACAGTTAGCGTGTATACAACACCTATATTCTGTTGCGATTATTATAAACCAAAGAATTGTATCGTTTGAATTATACGAGCAATAATATATATATCTTTTGAACATTTTTTATTGTATTTTTTTAAACAGTTAACACGTTTAAATTGCTTTTGTCACTTGACAGACTAATTAAAAAATCAATTCAATATGCAACCGAAACGAGAAAGTGATAAATGAATTATTAAAAAAAAATAGGTTATCTAGAAATTTTAATCCTTTTTTTTTTTAAGTTACATTTAGGCATACTTTTATCCAGTTAGGTTAGGTTAAGTTAGGTATTTTCCCAAGCTGTTTATAGAAACGTTTCGGGGTGTCTTATTATGCGGAGTCGGGTTGGATTATTCCCCAAGGTGCCCAAACGGGAGAAGCTAACCGAAACAAGAATATAATCTGTTGTGCTCCTTTGAAGAATTTCTGGTTTAAATGAGACCTGCAGGACGATCATTAGCTGTTATCCTCGAGACGTTTGTCATCCTTGAATCCTTGGGGATGTATGACTAGGACTTCTAATGCTAATAAAGTGTTATCATACACTGACGCCGGATACTTAGTCTAGGATCCATAGGGACATAAACTCGCCAAGTTTGTTTTAAGTACCGACACTTGCCGTGTGACAACGAGCAGTAAGTAGTAATGTATTTTTTGTAAATAATTTTTCTTTGTGTTCAGTCAATTCAAAAAAAAAAAAAAATCAAAAACCGACCGTGCGCACCACTCCCCGACGTACCTACATTCATATTATATGTAAATTATATATTATATTATGTTTATTACATCTTAAGAAGGATTATCACATAAATTACCGCGCCGTGTGTTTATAACAATGTGACTACTGGTTGCTGCGAAAGACATCAATTCAATTTTCACGTTTATTAATCACAAGTATAAACCAAAAAAAAAAAAAATGTGTAAAACAATTACTACTCGTAGGTAGGTGGTGCACAACAACAGCACAATAATATATTACAGGTTTTTATTAAACACTTCTGTGTTCGCGTCACAGATGAGGATAAAATTAATAATGACTATCGTTTGTTCGGTAAGACTATTTTTTTGAAATTCACGCTGAACCGGGTGGCCAATGGTATACAATTTTTTTGGTTCGCTTATACCTACCTGTACGTCTTATGTGGTGCCATCGAGGTCCGCGTACTGGACAGACCATACTTGGTCTTGAACGTGTCACGTCGACCCACCGCAGATGTAAAATAATATTACACTGCAAAAGCTTTTAACCAATGGCCGAAACAGCCGACGGTGTTTTTTTTTTTTATTATCACGTTCTTATAGACATCTGTTGCTCCCATTAAGTATTTGGAAATCTAACGCGCCTCTTTGATTCGAATATTGATGTCTTTAAGAACGTTTCACATACCTGTACTGCACTACTAATCGCTGCATAGATTATCACTCTAAAATTGAAAAAAAAAACCGCGTTGTGAAATTATTAATGTACCTAACTTTATTGACATATGGTGAGGTGCATCATGCATCGACATTTTCATTCCATATTATACATTTAATGTTTTTAAATACTTATGTGTGTGTGTATACTATACTGTTTTTCTTAAGAAAACCAAAAATAGAAACAACGCGTTACGTTAAAATTATTTTTCACAAATCAAAACCAACATCAGTACCGCATCAAAGCTAAAAAAACATGCGTTTACACGCCTCAATTATGGCGTCATTGGTCACCTTAATACAATAATAATAGTCGTTGGACGTTGTGTAATTAGAAGGCGGTGGCGGTCAATGTGTTTGAGGGCACGTGCGCGGACGACGAGGAAAAGGTGAAGCACGATGGTGTCATATTAATTGACAGGCGCCTATAAAAAAAAAAATAATAATATGGATATCGGATAAAACATACAATAATCATTTGTCACGATCATCCCACCACGTGGGCAAGGTGCCGTGTATGTAAATTAGAACTTGTCATCTGAAAAATTTGCTGCCGGCAATAGGTTTGGCCTAAATAGCTAAATTGAAACAGCATAATACACGTCTTGTGATCGTTTAGCATAAGCTATACATATAGGAGTACACCAACAGAATAATTAGTAAGAAAATATTTCCACAAGAGACAGATTTAAAGTTGAATTGAGAAAAATATGTTACTGTTTTAAATATACTCATTTAAAATTTTTATGGCGATATTATTTAGTTTATTAAAAAGTCTTGCTTGTATTCACCGCCTTTATTCAGGGGCGACATTTCAGTTTTTCATAGGGTGGGGCCAAATTTTTATCGGCCCACCGTTCATTTACAAATATAAATATTTTTTCCAAAACACTTAGACACAAAACAGTAATAACACAAATTGTATAAACCTACATACCTATTATACTTGGTAGTCAGTTCAGACGGTTCATTATTACTAAAGGTAGGAAGTTGCATAAAAAAACAGATAATTTACCGCCTTACGTATCGAAAATTTGACCAGCCCATAAAAATCAAGGGTGGGGCAAATGCCCCCGCCTGCCCCCCCCCCCAAATGACGCTACTGCATTTATTCACATTCGTCCTACTTGTTGTAAATAAATTTTATAAAAAACTAGAAATTAAAACTTATTATTGTTGTTTGTCAAATTGAATATTGTTAACCAACAATTTTTTTTCCAGAGTGACTTCGTTTTATGATATTTTCAACCGTGTTAAGTATGACTACGAGGAATGGTACTCGTTTTGTACAGATTGTAATATCAAAACATAATAAAGAACTTCGTTTCTAAATAGACACACGCAAGAAGACGTTCGGTAAAACCGGGCGAATATATTTTAACATATTATTTATCATGTGAAAACCGTCGAACGTCTATAAATTACGTTGGAATACATCGCGTTGGAATTCGGAGGCTGTTGTGGAGCAACGGTTTAATAACATGCGCATATACATACAGCTATTTATACATTTATAGTGGAAAAAAATGCGTCAGCATTAATAAATTGTACGGTTTGTCGCGAAGAGCAACGCAATCCGTACGGTGTCCCCGGCCACGGTCGCCGCACTCTCTCTACCCGCCGCATCATCGCGTGCCCGTGCACCAGACCCGGTAGTCGCGACGCGGTCGTGACTTGCGGCGGCGGCTGCGGCGCCAAACCGCGAAATTCCATCGCACGCGCCGTGCCACAACGCGGTCGCGCGCCGCGACTTTTTTAATCGTGTAATTAATACGATTGGCGGCCGTCGCGCGCGGTGGAAAAGTCCCGTCCCGCGGGCCGCGCCGTTCTCCTCAAGGTCTCGGTCCACCACTACTACTATTTACGCGCGTCCCGTTTGTTTCTTTTTGTTGGTGGTGTTGTTGTTGTTGTTGTTGTTGTGTGTGTTGTGTGTTGTGTGCGGTGTGTTGCAGTCGCCGTGTGTATTCATCGCGTGTATACATATACATTCTTGCCGTCCGACGGCCGGTAGTGTGCCGCGTACCGCTGTTGCTGCTGCTGCTGCTGACCAGTGTCGGCCGCGACGTCCGATCATGCGCAGACACCACGCCAACAACAGCTGCTGTAGCCGGCACGTCGAGACACCGTGAGCAAGAGATAATATGCGCACTGCGCTTTCAGCCGCAATCACCGCCGCCGTCGTCGTCGTCGCCGTTTTCCTTTGCCTATCGGTTAGTAAAAAAAAAAAAAACATCTTTTTTTATGAATGCAAAATTTTTTTTTAAAAACTAAGTTCTTTTTAAAAAAGAAAAATATATAACAAGAATATTAAACGATATCCTCGATAAGGTCTCAGTCAAGGTAAAAATATTAAGGGGAAAATGTCCAGAGAAATAATTCCCATACTTTTTAAGGGAAAAAATACACTTATTTCTAAACTAAAAATCGTGAAAATGTATCGTGTGATAGAATTGTACTATGTTCGGACTACCTTTAACACTGACCTGAGTAAAGACGAGTTAGCGATATCGCTTTTATCGTTTAGAATGATGTAAAATTGATTTTAAAAATGTTTAAAAATCGCTTTGAGGTAAAAAGTTTAAAAAATCATAGATGCCTTTTTTGTGGGTACTGTGTAAAAAAAAATATTAGCGAAATTCGAAATGCAAAAATCAAAAGGTGTACCTAACCCGGTTTTGGCGGGGAACATTCTAAATATATAATGAATAACGAATGATAGGGACACAAATAGATGCCAGGTATGTTAAACAGCCTTTAACATTATGGTTTAAATTTTTTTAAATGTATTAAATTGGTAATTGGTTTAAAAAAAAACTATCTATTTTAAAATACCTAACTTTAAAACATTTAAAATAAATAATGAATTCAAAAGTATTTTCGACCTAATCATATTATTTTGGCGTCCCGTTAATTTTTGTCGCACACACACTCAAAGTATGAAAATCTACTTACAAAATGTTGCAAATTTTGAATTTTTGAATTAATTGAGGCCACTGAGATGATCATTAATTTGTTAATAAATAATATTAAATGTTGATATTAATTTGAGACTATAACTATAGTGGTTTTTTTATAAAACCAAATGCTAATATATTGAGGAGAAACATACGAGATAGAATAATACTATTTTCAATTAACCAAACTTAAATTCATTTTTAATTAATATCAGCTTTTAAGTTAAGGGTAAATTAAATTCAACCTAATAGTATAAATCATTAATTTGCCCAGCCTTGTCACTACGTCCTTCGAAATTAAAATACCGGTTTCCTTTCTGTTGATTTATACTTTTCTTTCAATACCAAAATAAGTAGTACAACATCGTTTTTATACATAAAAAAATACATTTATGTACTAATACAATTTTTTACTTCAAACCTGGAAAAGCCAAAAAAAAAGTAGTTATTAAATACATATATTTAAATAAATGTAGTGGCCAGTATGTTTCTGTTAACTGAGAATAGATAATATATAGATTCAGTTTGAAATTAAAAGTATAATCAAAGTTAGACTTACTGAGATGATTTTCAATTAAAATTGTCTTAACCCTTCAGACTGACTTGTTTTGCGATTTTTATTTACAATAGAATTAATATTTATAGTTTAAAGATAGCAATTTTATTTTAACTGTAAAAATGAATTTTTTAAATTTACTGCATACTGAACAAAAGAGAGCGGTTTAAATTAAAAATATCAATTTAAAAATTCTAAAGATTGCACTGCAGTTGCATTACAAAGAAAGTAGGACCATAAAATCAATTTTATGGTCTATTTTATTGTTATACAAATTTAACTGCATTCATTTGGTCAGTATTCAATTTTTATAACAATCAATATTAATATGTGTTTTTTATATTAATATTGTATATTTTCAACAAAATTCGATTATTTTGAGCAAATACATTTGTAATGTTTGTTTTAATACAATTTTAGTTCAGCGAGGACAGAGTTTGTGTCAAACACAATTACAATACTATCATGAAACTGATGTAGAATTGCCAACTATTACAACAAATTATTATTTTTAAAATAATAATTTTAATTTAAATTTCTTTAGACTTCATCTCTTAATACTCGTTTAATAATACTATTTTTTTTATTATTAAAAGAATAAGCCAAACAGTTTTTAGTACCAACAGTTCAAACATTTAAAATAATTGTTTTCAAATGTAAAATAAGTCACACAAAACAGAAAAACATATTATATAATGTTTGTCAATACTCTTGTCTGTTCTGTATTTTTTCTTTTTGATACTTCCAACGTGCACAATTCCTTTTCATTTGTATACTTACATAATACAGTAGGTACTTAATTATAAAATGTATGTGTGTGTAAAGTCCTTAGCTCGCAACATATTGTTTATTGACTCCGGTATTGTGATTTTCATAAGTATAAGTATGCCCGAATCGACTGTTTAACGACCCAGTAAAGTATTTTATTTAGGTAGGATAATTGCAGTGCGCAATTATATGCGTTTGCCATATATAATATGTTAATGTTTATTTTGTGCGGAAACTTATAATTGCATGTTGTGCACGAGACGACCGAACCGCCCCCTCTTGGGAGAAAATGTTGTCTGTTAATTTATAACCGACAAAGATGATGTTGGCAAAACGTTATTATTATTATTTTAACATACAATTATTTTGGTCTTAAACCCTGTACATATATGATATACTGCGATCGCCTCGAGTCTCGTTACCATATAATATAATACTATATTGTTGTGGAACTAAATCCCACGATTCGACCCGGGACCTTGGTACATAAACGTTATATGAGTATTCATCATTACTTACATCTAATACCTAACCTATCCCTTAAAAATCACTGATTGTATAATATTATACAGACCCAGACAATTTGTATTTAAATAAATCAATTACAAATATATCAATTGTTAATGATTAATTGAAGCATTTGCGGTGTTTAATATTTGATTTTCTGACAGTAATATAATGATCAAAAACGTTTTGATAATGTTTAAACATATTGTGGCACTTATTATTGCTGCGTTTGGTTGCTCAACGCAATTTTTATTCTCAAAGTATAGCTTGTAATGTAAGCTTGTATAACTATTTATACTAGCTATTAAAATATATTATACTATTGTATTGCACATCTCACCAAAGTACAATAATATCCTTTCGGAGACTTTAACGCTCAACATCATACAATAATTATACCACAATTATATTATAATTGGAAATATTCCCTTAATATTTAAAAAACTATTTTAAATATCTAAACACTGTCTTAACAATTATTTCATTAATTTTGTTCTGTAGGAAAGATTCTTATTTATATTGATTTTAGAACAATATTATATGCTAATAATACAAAATCGTTATTTAGAGACTAGAGTAAATATTTTTAACGTCTAAACGATGATCGTTAAACTGTCATTATGAACTTCCTACCTAATAGTGTTATGGTACAAACGCTTAAGCCGAAATCATATTGCCTAAACGATTTCGTTGTAAATGTACAATTTGAAGATTAGATGATTGCGGGGATTAATAGGAGAGAGGGGAACAACCTGCGTTTTATTTGGGGTGACTTGTGCCGATAATAATGTTTTAAAATCGTTTTAAGGTATTTGTAAAGTAGAGCGAGAAGTCAGATAATGCGTTTGATAATTTATTGCATTTTCAAGGGAAAATTGTATCAGATTGGACGTGGGTAAATTAGTAGGATATATTTTTGTACGCTTATTTGAATGTAGCCAAAAATTGTGAGTGTAAAATTTTAATTGTAATTCCCAACTAATTAGATTAGTTGTTTATAATATTTTTCTATTTTTAACCCAACTCGTGTTTGGTATTTTGTTTGGTTTTAATCGTTTAAAAAATGAATTTGTATTGACCGAACGAAAGCAGTTTGAATTTTGATTAAACAAGACTATACAATTAATTTTATAGATATTCTTGTAAAGAGTAATACATATATCAACAAATGTTAATATTTCATTACAAATGAATGTATTTTATTACAGTGTTATATTATATTTTTACTCTACACATTCATATAGTCTATTAAACACTTGCGCGGAGGCCGTTCAAATAGTATTATAGACAATTATTTAATAACTTAATATACAGCGTGATCCAATACACTCAATATAGCTTTAAATATTTGCATTTATGACGTTTATTTTATTGTAAAAAAATATTAGTTTAAGTTATTTTACAATATTATAAAATAACTAAATATTAATTTATTTTTGTGTATTTTTCGGAGCTCTATTAATTTTAGAAACTTAAATTGTAACGTTAAAAAGAAATACGTTTCTATTTAAATTATAAAATGTCTCTAGAATTAATCAAATATGAATGAATATTTTTTTGAATACTACGAAATAACATTAAATAAAATGTCCAAAAAAAAAAATAAAAACTACAGAATTATAATTATTTCGAGAGAAAATTAGTGTATTACGGGGATCGCACTGTATATGTGTATGTTGTGCTTCGGGCAAGGTGGAAAAACTCAATACACTTATGTAACAATGGCCTTAGAACAATATACTAACAGAATATGAAGGAAAAAAAACACGGTAATCAGAGTTCGAAAATGTTGAAAATCCCAAAAGCGAGACGCTTAAAAGTACAATTTTGTGTGGTTAAAAGCGGATTTTGCCCAATTCCAATGTTATATCCATGTTATTACCTATGTATAATAAACGCGGTGTACGATTGAAAACGTTAATAATTTACATAACCAATACCAAGTGAAGCTGGCGTAGGCGTGCCGATATTTCTTGATTTATAGCTTTAATAATTTTATAGCTGATATAACACATATATTATAATTGTAATTGTAATATGTCAGTGCACTGCTGGCGGTTGGAAGTGTCAAACATTCGGCGACCGGTTGTTTATTTTATTTGATTATTATATCATTTTTCAAAATACACATACCTGGCGGGTCATCCGTGTGACCCGTGGCGGCTCGCTGTAATATAATTTAATATATGTAAATGTTATTTCGTTGTATACACAAGCTACCGGCGGCGGACGATTGCCAAACCGACGATGAATAATAATAATAATTGCGGCGATTTGTCCGGTTTGGCCATAATATGATGACCGCCCGAGAAAACCGTTGCAAATGGCGCACGCCGTTATGGTATAAATGCCGGGTCAAGTCACTTCAAAGAGCCCTAGGTCAGGTCGGCCGGATAGGTTTTCATCATATTATTCAATTTTAACTGTACATCTTCAAGCAACAAAGACACACCTGACATCTTCCAAGATAATCAAGTCCGTGAATTGTTTAAATACAAACTCGAATAATCATGAACGATTAAAATGTAATTAAATAAAAACGAAAACAGTTAACGCGTTTTTAATGAAAACCCAAAATAACAATTTCAGATCAAGTTTCTTTAAATGTAGTCGCCTGACTAAAACAAGCTAGTACATTGGGCATAGTGGGAACGGGGAGGTCACCAGGTCCACAGAAAATATTACATCTTAAAACCACTTTTAAATAAACGTTTCCATGCGAATCTGTGGTCTGATATGTAGCATTAGTTTTAAGTGTTACGGTTTTTAAGAATCCCGAGCCCTCCCGCGTATTGAGCTTGGACGATTTAAGTGTAATAAAATTTAAAAAAAAAATCACATTTTATCTGGTAATGCTAAAAAATAAGAGCATTTTTTTTTTCATAAGATCTACAGATGTTGTACTTCACTTGACCTTGTGACATTTTTCTATTATGTGGAATATTTTATACAATCGAATGCTTTTAATCAAAATAAATGAATGTACGAGTATAGTAATGTATATATAAATGTATTTTTTTTTTTAAATAATTTATACGAATAAAAAATAATCGCATTTACATATGTGCTTCGTTCATTAATTACAATATCCACTTGACCCTATACACAGTGGTTTTCAAACGACCGTGATGGACTTGTCGGAGAGAGGCCAGTCCGGCACTTGCTAAACGCTCCAGATTAATCAATATTGGAATTATTATTATTATTTATTATCAAGACAGTCGGTTCGCGACGTTCGGATCGAATTAGCGCGGGCGTGGACGTTTTATAGGTCAAAGAAAGTGTCGAAATTAGTTCAATACAATACATAGCATAACATACACGGTATGGGTATATATGTATACAATATGTACCCACTTGGTGCTAATATGTGAGCATTAGTCCGGTGGCCGGCACGTAGTCCGCCCATATAATTACAGCAACTACTAATAGCCGACAATGTCTACATAATAGACGTGCAACTAATAACTATTAAGTACATATAATAACTGTGAATGTGGTCTAGCACCTAATAATGATATTGGTTTTAATTGTCTGTTCAACGGTGGCGGATTAAGGCACAATGGAAAAAAGTCAGGAATTTTTCCAGTAGACCAACAGAGTTGCGCAAAGTTTGGTCAAACAACGAATAAATAGTTTTAAAAAATCCCGAATAACGTGTTAGGTGAAATAAGATACTTGATTGGACGATTGATTTAATTAACATGAATCGGATAAATTTGTAATTGAAAAAATATCAAATAATTTTATTGGAAACGACTTTTTATTAAAAATAAATACTCTTAAAAATTCCATAATAATAATTAATTAAAAAGTTATGCTACGAGTATTTATGAGAAATGGTAATTAATAGTATTCAAAATTCAAATAAATTGGATTGTCATTTTTGGAACAAAATGTATTTTCAACAGAATATAATATGAACCAAACCAATAAAAAAAACCAACCACCGAAGTAATATTTGCTATAACACGTTACGTTTATGTTTGGTAAAAATATTGTAATTTTTATTTTAAAACTCCCAGAAAATTGTGTTCAAAATTCAAATTATTCGAAAATTATTTTTAAAAAACTATTTTTTTTTATTGGAAAAAGATAAAAATGTTGTTTATTGTTTACACAATGTGAATAGGAAAATTGTGACCACCCTTTCAAGGAGTGGAGTTCCTAGTTAAACCAGAGTTTTGATCTATTCTAAGCCCCAATTTTTACATTATTTAATAGTACATTTTCTGAAGTTTTTGCATGTTGATTAATGCGGCCAATGCCTGCCGGTCATTGTCTGTAATTAAATCTTGTCTTTATAAATTACATTTACTCTCGAGTCTACGCTGTTGCACTTGTTACCGTTAAATAAAAACCGTGCACTGTTGGTAGATTTTTTTGAAAATATACCGTCTTAATTAACATGTACACGGTGTTGCTTGTTACGCCAAAATACCCACAACTGTGGATGCACTCACTTTCGTTTTGACGGTATAATTAATAATAATAATTATTATTATTGTTAATTACGGTGGTTATCTACAAAATACTTTATTGCAAAAATAATGCGAATGGCATAATCCTATTTTATTAGGTACTTACCTAAGTTTTGGCGTTAAATAACATACCGCACGTGCAACAGACTTTGGTTTACTTCCTTCTCGCTTCATTCTATCTAAATTCTTCCATTCTATTACAATATCTTATCTTATCTTATTACCTTTATTGCTTAATTTCCGTCTCTTCGCTTTGTACAGTTTGTCTCGAGTCCAAACCGTCTTCGTCCACTTTTGATGCAAACCTATATGTTTACATTTTTAGCCTTACTAGTTCTGTACTATTTTCCTTTCATCCTAAATGGCGAATTTCTGTTACGCCAAACTCTTTACTATACTTATTTTTTATCTCATATAACGGCACTTTATGTTTTGACACCTCTCCTCGTTGGCATTTGACGGTCTAACTCGATCGTCCTCGCTGGTTTACCATCTTGTAGTCGAGTCTCAAAAGTATCATACTATGCTCAAGCCACTATTACGTCTGACCTACACATATCGCCGTATCTGTGTTTGTAGTATTCCAATTTGGCACCCAGTACCCACCATTCATTTCCAATCACTCGAGCTTTTGAAAGTTATTTTCCTACATTGTTTTCTGCAATGTGATTAAATTTTCTTTCTGATACGGTGGTTCAAATCGTCTTCCAAACAATTTATTTAATTTTGCAATTTAACAATTTTACGTTTAACATAATATTCCGTATCTATAGCGTTTTATTAGCGCTTGGCTTTTTTCTTTTAACTGGTATTATTATTATTACATATTAACCTAACCTAACCTACCTGATGATTGAAAAAAATTAGTTGTAATATTTTGTTGAATCACAACTTATTCTAATCACCTTATTTGAATACCATTAAAAAGATTATCATTTTTTTTTTTTTCAATGAATACATCATTGAAATAGTTTCAGTTTTTTACTCGTTTATTAACTAAATTTTGTCGAACTCTGACTGTAATATTTATAAAATGTCGTTTGGCGTTAATTTTTGTCACAGGTGCCGTTCAGTGAGAGTCGCCCTTGGCCCACCTCGTCGACGGACAATCCGGAACCGTCCACGGCGGCGTACGCGGATTACGGCGATCCGTCCCCGGCGGACGAGACGGAGGAGCCGTCCACGTATCAGGACCAGCAATCAGAGTGGATGTACGACGAGCCCGAAAAAGTGTACGGCGAACCTGAAAAAGTGTACGGCGAGCCTGAAAAAGTGTACGGCGAACCGGAAAAAGTGTACGGCGAACCGGAAAAAGTGTACGGCGAACCTGAAAAAGTGTACGGCGAACCGGAAAAAGTGTACGGGAAACCGGAAAAGAATTACGAGGTGGACGAGGCGGACAGCGTGCTGAGCGACGGCCGCGTGCATGGCGAACAGCCGACGACCGCCGCGGGGTCGTCCGCCGAGACGAAAAAGAGCGGCTACGTTGTGGACGGCAAACATTACCGCAAGTACCGCGTGGAGGAGGAGACGCCGGACGGGTTCATAGTGGGCGAGTACGGCGTGGTCAACCACAACGACGGCATCACCAGGGGCGTCCGGTACACGGCCGACAGCAGCATTAACCCGAGGGTCATCTACGACGCCCTGGCCAAGTTTTTAACGCTCTAGCGATAATAATGGCCAGCTTTGTCCGGCCGGGACTGAATCGATAAGCAAAAATCATTGGTTTTTTTTTTTATTTACATGAAATTTTCTAGTCAGACACTATTCCAATCGTCGTACACAACCGTTAAAAGTAATTATTATGTATTTTTTATTATGGCTATTACTATTTGTATTATTACACAGCCCTTTTATTGCCAGCCATCAAGTGCCATTCTATATTAATTATTATACATTGAAAAATATTTTTCCAAAACGTTAGTCAACGCGTTTACGCGCAATATTATTATAAATATATATATACCGTAGAAATGACAAAACGATATTCTACTATTGTAACAATATGTATAAATTACATTACATTGATCGATTATTCAAATTATTAACAGACATTTTAACTGTAAATTTAATTTTAAAAAAATGCATCAACACTCAAGTTGTACTAATATGTATATTAAAGGTGCATTATGATTTATAATTTGCGTTTTGCTCTCCTTGTAAAATATGTATACATGATTAATTGATTGTCACCACTTCACAGGCAAAATGAAAACAAACAACAAAAAATATTACAAAAATGTTAAAATATCATGTTCAAACGGCTCCTGTAAGTTTTTTTTTTTATTAAATTGATTTGGTCGCGAAAAAAAATGTATTCTACTTGGAAATATAAAACAAGTACAGCAATAATTATTTAAATCGATATTCGTGCCTTGGGTCAATGAGAGGGTCAATGTCACATTTTCCCCCAAAAAAAAAGTCCTTAAAAAATAAATAAATAAACATGAAAGATGGTAAGAAACTCGCAAACGGCATTCCAAATGGCATCTGCAAACAAAATTAACAGTAAAGCTAATTTATCAAAAGTTATAAAAATAAGTATTGGCCCTTCTTGTACCAAATATAAATTTTTTTGTTTGTAAGTAAAAATATGAACTGAAGTATAATATATTATATATTTTTTTGATATGTTTATACAATTATTTTTATATTTCTCCTCTTTAATTTCTTTTTCATACTAAATGATATATATATATATTAACGGTACCGTCGTTCTACCGTGAAAGTACGTTCGCCTACATCATGTATACTAGACCATATAATATAATTATAATCTTTTTTTTATATTTTGTATTCGAATATAATTGTACGAATTAAATATATATATATTTTTTATCAAAAATAATTGTAACATATTATACATGTAAAATAATATACAATTACTATAATAATATTGTACGCCGATTGTGTGTTGTATCCAGTACCTAAGACCTGACCTAATACTGTATAGTAAATCGAATTAAATTCTCGGCTGGAGAATCTTCACTTCGCCGAGGATCCCTGTGCGACTAGTAGTAACCCGACATTAGTGTGTATCGTCTAACACTCTTAGCTTTAGCTATCTAAAGATTAGAGGGTTGGGTAAAGATGGGCCGGGTTAGGTTTGACGTGTTAACCATACTTTTTGGCGCAAATAACCGACCGGTCGGTTAACCTGGATTTGTCGTGTCGCGGAGGTGATGTTCTGTTTTTATTTTGACTCGGTCGAGCCGAACCGTCGACGTGCCTGGAAATGAGATAATTTGAAGAAATATGATATTTTACAGCGGACGAGACGACGAGCCGAGCTATGTAATGTATGTATACAAGTACAATGTACCCGCAAGTACATTTCTCTTCTTGGTCGCCATTCGATTTACGCGTGCTTAAATGTATTTCTCCGGTTTATACACAACACATACACTTGTCTACTGGCAGGTACATTATAATGGTATAGTGCGTGCTGTGTTTTTCTCCTATTTTATTGTAACGTGCCATGGAAATTGAGTTCGATTTTCACGGTGTGTGTATGTGTGTATGTACCTTTATGTGTGTATGCTTGGACGTCGACGCGCGGTCACAACGACCTCAATGAATGTCATTGCCGCCGCCGGGTTGAAAATCGTCGATGAATCCGATGACGTAGAAACGTGCAATAATTGTACTTAACAACTAGAAAAAAAAATACTACAGACAATATATGTATACAGCGACTAGAGAAAAAAAAAAGAAGGGGTGGAATCAATAAAATAAAATAAAATGTATCAACACGATGCAAACGCAGGAATGTCTTGTAATGGACCGCTCGGTATTTCTCCGGTAATGGTTAGGTAAAGCTGTTAATCTCAACTTGTTATTGGCGTCACGTTTTCAATACAGTATTATTATTACCCAACACTGACGGATGAGTATCCTATGTAATAAATTATAATGGAATGACATTTTTAGTTTTTTTTTTTTTAGTTTAAGTCAGTTCGAGTTAGGTTACACATCAAAACGAAATAATTAAATATATAAACGTATTTAAATTAAAAAAAAAAAATATATATATATATATATATATATATATATATCACTACAACTTCGTTTGTTATTTAATAAAGATCTAGATAAGTTCAAATGAATTTTTAACTTGAACGAATTTATTAGCAATAGTCAACATTCGTTTAAATACTTATTTGAGCAATAACATTTCATAAACGTTTTATATAATTTATAAAAAATGTGGTCAAATATTTCTATTGCATTATATTAAATCTCTGCCCAACAACTATTTGTGAACTAAACTAATAACGTGTAACCAAAATCGCTAGGGAAAAAACAGACGTTAATTACTACTAATTAAGCACTTTTATAATATATTAAATAAGGCATTTAGCATTTTCCTTAGTAACCGAGCATGGAACAAGTCTTTCTTGTATGCTTACACTTTTTTCGAACTACTGTAGTTCACCATAACAGTATCTTTTTCTTATTTTCTTATTCATACGAGACAGTCCACATATACCTGCGTCGTCTGCCTCCATAAAATGCGCCATTTACTAGGAAAATTATTATAATGATTCGAGGCATGATGTATTGCCTAATCGAACCCCTTCGAGCAATCAATGAAGTATAATTCTCATAAAATTTGTACTATTGAATATAATATGCATTTTTTGTAAATTTGCTATTTTTTTTAAATGTAACTATCTTGTAGTATTATCAAAGGTAACTTAGTTACCACTTCAGAACTTAAGTCTTTCGAACCAGATAACAAATAAAATGACAAAAACAAACAAAATGTTGGCTAATCAGTTGCCAATGGTTTAGTGCGAGAACAGTGACTCGCTTTGGAACAATGGTCGCTCTCAAACAGTCGGAACCTCCGCCCTACAGATACCTCTTAGAGTATTGCAGAAATAATTAGTATTAGATTAAGAGCTGTAATAAAAACGTTCTACACTTACAAGCTTGCTGTACATAGAGGACTGTGAATAGCGTTAACAGTTCATCAATATTGCTGGTGCAGTGTTTTTTTTTTCCATCTACTTTATATGTATACAACACAACTATTGTGTTGTATATATTGCCTACACACTACAATATCACATTTTCACCGACATACCCATTTCGCGTCGATTGTGTTGGTCGACGGATGATTTCCTATGAATGTGTATATGTGTGTGTGTTATCCGACGTTTCGTAATCCGACTCCGCAAATGGCAAGAAGTGAATAGAGTCATGTTCACGTGCATGTAAGTATGTAAGTATATGAGCAAGTAAACTGGGCTCTTCCCGTCAAGATGCATCCATCGGATTTTTTCCCATGGCTCGACCCGCACAACAATAGCGACAAGGCGGCAGGAAGTCTTTTTTAATCTCTCGTTCGGGGTATTATTATTATTATTTTTTTTTTTTTGTGAAAAGACAAAACAGAAACAACGCCCTCTTATGTGTGTGTGTGTGTTCGACCGCCTTCTATAACGCGGGCAAACGTGTGACAGGTACCGGGTCAGGTCCCGCACAAAAGCTAGAATATGGGAAATGGAACAAGTTTCGCCTTTGGGTCGGGCTCGTGTTACCGACGACGTTTCCGACAGGTATATACTGTATATACAGGTATATAACACACGCACGCATTTCAGAAATCGAGAACACCACTTAAGAGTCCCACCAAAAGGGCTGACGTCCAATACGGTATTGTCGATCAAACTCCACGGCCATGCGAGTTAGGTGTAGAGTAAATAATGAATATGAAATCTATTGACGCCGTCAGGTGGCAAGGCGAAGGTGTTGGGAGTGAAAATTCCTAACCGATTTTTTTTACAATGTTTAATTTAAAAAATTAATTTTCAATAAAATATGAACGACGCCATGTTTGCTAAGGGCTAATCGTCCAGATAACGATTATTAATAGTTGTTAAAATTTGACTGGGCAAAAAATTCGTTGGCCTCGTGTTAGGTTAGATTTTGGGAAAAATAGCCTATCAATTTTTTGCTGTCATTGGTTAGAAGCAATTTCGGGGAGGGTTTTGACGCTCGAACCCTACTACAGGCTACTTAAGTACGGCCTTGCATAAGTTGTATACTGTATCTCAACAAATTCATTGCAGTTTCTCCTTGTAATATATTAGCTTGCAGTGTGAGTAAGCAGTCCGATTTTGAGCGGTAATAAATAAATAAAATGCCTAGATCGACGGCGCTGCTTAAACAAATCGAGTATAATACAATATTGTTATCGATCCAAAGGATCCAATGTGATATTTTACTCGGCGTGGAACAATATGTGTGCAATGCAAAAGTATCACGCCTACGGTGCACCTTATAGTGTACTACAAATAGAATAGTACTTTGAAATTTATTCCTTTCGATGTACAATAAATACAATAATAACAATATTATTATTAAAACAAAATCTACAATATTGTGAACGGGTCGTACCAATTGCAAAAACGCATTTTATAACACACTTTTATTCGAACAGACGTACAAATTCTTAACGACATTTTCAAAAAAAAAACAACGTGTGTCACGTACTTACATCTAATATATTATATAGTTTACCGTTATATTTTACCAAGAAATACAATATTACATGACTAGTAGTATATGTTTTGTTCGCACATATGTCTTATATGTTTGATAAAAATCATATTTTTCCAAACGTATTTTAACGTTTATGATGAAAGTCGAACAAATTGACTTTTAAAAAAGGTAAGATAATTATTTTCGTATCTAATAATTCACAAACATATCTATTATAATTTAACACTGCTGTTAAAATTGTAATAAGACTCATATAAGCTAGATTAGGTCAGGTTAGGTTGTTTAATTTATTGTTAGGCAAACCAAGCTCATCATGTCTTAATATGAGACAGTTAACTGTTTAATAAAAAATACAAATTTTCAAATTTTTATTACTTGGGGTTTTTTTAGAAATCGACAAAACTTTATTAAAATTATAAAGGCTAGTTTTGGATTTTAGCATCCTATAAAACGAGCGTTATTGTATAAATGAAGTTAGCAGTTATGTTTTTTGTCGGTGACAAATGCAATAAAGAAACAGTTATAATCCAACCTAACTAACTGAGGTAAACGATTATGAAAGTTAACTGATGTGGTATGTATCAAAAAAGGTAATTTTAAATCGCTAAATTCATGCAAAAACGAAGTAAC